GTCAGTTTTAAGTAAGCCTGTTTAATTTTTTGTTTAATGCTCCTATAATCACATATTTCTTTTAAAAGAAATTCTTCTGTCCTATTACCTCTATTCTAAATACAGTATACCTTAAGAAAGCTATACATCAGTCAATTTTAAAAAAACAGTTGTTTAACAGTAGTTACAACAAAACTAAGTTCAATAAATCTTGAAAGGAGAAATATTGAAAGTGATCAATAAGTAATTGCAATGAGCAAGTGTAACCAATATTTTAAAAATGAAAGGCAATTACAAATGTTTTATGCACCAGATGTTACAAACCTTCCAATAGGTTAAATCAGAAAACAAATTATAGAAGAACATATATATTTTTATGTAATTTTTATTTGCAGAAAAATGGAATGTATTCTGAGACAATTCAACTTCTGGCAGAGACAGGGAAAACTACATTTGAAAAAGACCTGAATTACATGAATTCTTTTATTTCTATAGAGGTTTTGAGATATTTTTACATCACTGAAGATTTTAACAACGTTCTGCGAGGTTATTAAGACTCTCAGTGAAGTCTGATTTTTGTTTTAGTGTCAATTTAGAAGTTTTAAATTCACAGAACAGACTATTCAGAAATTTACAACCCTGACTCAGAGAAACAAACAATGCTAAGACAGTCACTTGTTTCATACTTAGTTGCTGCAAAAACAGCAAAAGATCAGAGGTTAGTCCTATTTCCAGACCTGTGGTCACTTCACCAACACAAAAGTCTACATACAGGGAAGTATACTAAAAAGACCCACATTTGCTTAAAAACTAAATAAATGGGGAGTTATAGCATTTTGAGCATTATTTTTTCTTCTCACTAAAATTTAAATAAATCCATTGGTAAACTATATTTTTTGTACTCGTGCAACAATAGAGATTTTGGGGGCCATAACCAATTTTTAAGGAGGTGCATCAGCCAATACCGATCCAATTTCCGATACAGCTGGGTCCAGCTGCTAAGTCTGATGTGATGGAAGGGGAGTGGGGAGGGAAAAGGTGTGGGAGGGTCAGATCAACGCCCCCCACAGTGAGGGAGGCAGTGGGCTGGAGCTGAGGCAGGCGCTGCCCAGCCGGGGTGGAGTGCAGGACAAAGGCATGGCTTGTTCACAGGGTTTGGGGAGGGGGGAAGTTCCCGCCACTGCGTGCACCCTGAGAGGGTATATGGGGAGTGTGTGCCCCAGGATCTGTGTGGCATGGGGAAGGGCAGGCTGTAGCTGCGGTAGCTCCAGGCTCTTCCCAGCAGGGGCCAGGCTGGGCTGCCCTTGGGGCAGGAGCAGTGGCACTGGGAGGAAGGGTTACAGCATGGGCTACAGCCACCCCAAATTTTGTCATAGCCCCTCATAGCCCTCCCTCCATGTGCTGCCGCTGTCCACCCCAAGCACAGCTCTAGCCCACGCCCCCGATCCCAGACCCCAGGGGCACATGCCCGATCCCTCTCCCGGGGTGTGCACAGCAGCGGGAACCACCCCCCTCCGCACTCCCTAGATGAGCCACAGCTCCACTGCCTGCCCCACCCTGCCCTGGCTGGGCAATGCCTGCCCATGCATAGGCATTTATCAGCCAAATTATCAGCCACATCAGGCTGATTTCTGATGCAGTTAATTTTCTTTATATTGGTGACGATCCGATACCAGAGCAATGTATCTGTGCACCTCTAGTTATCTGCTTTCAAAAGAGATTCATTTTAACACATAAGAAAACACACAAACATTGCTGCCATTTCAGTTAACCATTCATAAGAATTTACACTGCATTTAAAATCAATCATCTAAGAGTAGCCTTAATGGGTGGGAAGGGATAGTATACTACTTCTTCCCTTTTGTGCACATCTTCTTGCCTGAGTACTCACTATCTGCATTGTTTTTCTTATTGTAAAAACAGTAATTCAGAAATCCACCTGTATTTAACTCAGTAACATTTTTGATGAGCCTGATATTTATTTCCTACTGGTCCAGAAGCTTCTAATACACGTCATGTTATTTTGATTATTTTATAAGTCAGTTTTCACTTATAAAAGCCCTATATTTATTTTACAGATACTGTTACCAACTTTTGAAAGAAGCAACACTTGAAATTTTCCCGAGGAAGTCAACCCAACTTGAAAAATTCTCATGTCTCATAGTAGCTAGGGTCAGGAGGGACCTGAACAGATCATCTAGTCTGACCCCCTGCCACAGGCAGGAATGAATGCTGGGTTCACAAGACCCCAGACAGGTGATCATCTAACCTCCTCTTGAATTTGATCAAGATAGGGGCGAGGGCCACTTCCCTGGGAAATTGGTTCCAGATTTTGGTGACACTAACTGTAAAATATTGCCTCCTGATCTCTAACCTAAACCTATTTTCCATCAGCTTATTACCATTGTTCCTCGTCACCGCAGGTGGTGCTGGGGAGAAAAGGGCTCTTCCTATTTGCCGTTGATCTCCCCTGATGAGTTTGTAGGCAGCCACCAGGTCCCCCCTCAGCCTCCTCTTGCTAAGGCT